TGGGGGGGGGAGCAGCAGAATTCATTTTTTTTTTTTTTTTTTTATTAGATCTTGGAATTAGACCTTACAGTAATTATTTAAATAACTTTTTACAAGCGTTCTCTTCCATATTTATGCTACTACATACATATTAATAAATCCGAACATTTGGAAATGAGGCACTAAAAAGGAGCTTTCTATTTAATTGCAGTCACACCTCCCTGCTGAGCAACTGTATAGATAAGGAATCAGGCACAGTGCCTAGTTTTCACTGGCCTGGCAGGCCCATAGATGTGCAGTGTGGGAAAGAGCAATAAAGTACAAGTACTACTGTGTTTCCCCAAAAATAAGACACTGTCTCATATTTTTTTTTTGGCTCAAAAAAAAAAACAAAAACACACTAGGTCTTATTTTCGGGGTAGGTCTTATTTTCGGGGTAGGTCTTATTTTTTTTAATGTACAACAATCCAAAGTTAATGCAAATCCAAATAAAATAATACAAAATGGCAAAATTAAGAATAGGGTGATCAGGGCAATCGGGGGTGCCGTACCTTTCCAAGAGCAATTTGGTAACCAGAATGAGCGAAGCTTTCACTATGGATTCCTCACAGGCGGAGTGCATTTGGTATCACTCCGCCTGTGACAGAAGCCGGCGCTATAAAAGGAAGCATCGGCTTATGGGGCTCTCCTCCCTCCTGTGCTGCCTCGCTTCCTCTAGCGCTGGCTTCGTTGGCACCCCTTATTCCCTCCCGCAGCTCTTCAAGTTCCCCCTTATGCCACCACCGGCCCTGGGAATGGTCACAACTAGGTTTTATTTTCGGGGTAGGTCTTATATTTTAGCAATTCTCAAAAATAGTACTAGGTCTTATTTTCGGGGTAGGTCTTATTTTCGGGGAAACAGGGTATGTAGAGATGCATAAAAAAGGAAGTGGAGCCAGCATATGTAATCAGCAAATATGTCTAGCCCCATGTACATGGCTTGAAAAATCCCGGCTGGGAGCTCTACATTCAAGCGATCGGGCGTCTCTAGAGATGCCGATCACTTGTATTAGCTGCGGTTTTACCCCCACGTCACTGCCGTTGCCGTTCCCGAGATTCGCTGTGCCTGGTGCAGCTGGGACCAGCACGTCTGTCAAAGGAGATTAAAAGTGAGATCGGTACACAATCTCCTCTCCGGACCCCAAATGCAGGAAGTGCATTCTGCGGTCACTCTCCAGCTTCAGAAGCAGATCTCTCTGGGGGTCCCTAGGTGACATTAAGGGTCTAGGAGACACCTGAGGCCTCCATAAAGAGGACCTGTCATGTAAAATGACCATCACATAGGGGGCTTCTTAGCCCCCCCATGTGATAACTTTAAGAAGTGTAAGAAAAAAAAAAAAATTATATATATATTGACATCTTGTCTACTGGACTAATACGGCTTACCCATTTATATTGATATATATATATTACACATACATAATTTATTAAAAGTCCCCTACCCCCCACATACACACGT